TGCTCTACTTTGTGGCTGGTTGAAAGTTTTGCTCACAGCAGTTCCCACTTCTGTAAGTCTAAATGTAATTCAGTACGAAATCACAGAGGCCTTTCACAGGGGGAATCTGATAGCATCACTTAAAGCAGCGTGAGAAGAGTAATGGCCATTGCCAGGGATCAGTTTTACTCACCTCATGGGCCAGACATATCATGTTGTAGTAAATTGTGTGTAGCAGAAGACATTGATTGCAATTAGGTTCCCAAGTACACGAGAGGTCAGATCTATAACGAGTTTTTTTTCCCTTATTACTTCTGCCTGAATGATCATCTTTCTCTGGACAGAGCTCAGGCTCTGCCTTTATTCCAGACCACTCTGGCAAAAAGTGGCAAACATGAGGGAGAACTAAAAATTTTGTGGATTATTTGTGCATATGCTGAGTAACTGTTTTACCCTGTGAAAGTGAAAGCCCCTGGGCCTTCAGTCCCTTCCTGGGTTCTGCTCAGGAGTGCTGGGCTCCAGCTCTGCCACCCGCAGGTGTATCCAGCTATGGATGCTGTGGACCTTGGCTTGCAGGCTGACTACCTGACCCTGTGGAGGTGTCTGATGCTGTGAGCTCCCCCTTCACTGAGGGTGGTGGGATGTGCCTTACTGGAGAAACCCATCCTTTTCCAGTCTCCATGGGGATTTTCTGTGGGTCCTAGCCCCTGGGCTGCTGCATGGCTAACTGATATTAATGGCTTTATATTCTGTAAGGAGCAAAATACCTGCAGAAAGAAAAAGATAGTGCCATTTAGCTGGTAGCATAGAGTAAGTGTGCTGACCTTTACAAGATTCAAAGGTAAATAGATCATCATAGACTTAGGTCCCATTTCTGCTAAGCCACAGCAGAGAACAAAGAGATAAATTTGTGTCCATTCTTCTGTTTTCTATAACTGGAGTGTGGGGTGGGGGTTGGAATCTTTAATGTCTTTGTAAAGTGCAAAACTATTTTGTTTGGTTGATTTGTTTGTTTACAGTCTTTTAAATCTACCTGGCACTTGAGGCTTCCCAGTGGTGAGCTCTTTCGAGTGAGCAGCAGCCAGCCTGCTCAGCTGTTCTCATCTCTTTTTCTCTTCCCAGAACTAGGAAAGTCTTCTTACAGTGCAGCTTCACCCTCCAAGACTTCACTCTTGTGCCTACACTTTCCTTGCTGCAGCTACATCACCTGCATGTATCACTGATGGGGAATTGCTGTAGGGGAGAGGTATGTCACAGATGAGGTTGGATGCATCCACTGAAAGGTCAGAACTAATCTGTAGCTAAGCCATGCCCTGTGCTTTGTGCTGGTCTAATTCATCTAGCATCTAGAAAACATTCTGGAGAAATCCATTTGGTCTCTTGACTGTATTCACTCCATATGATCTCTCTGTGCATGATACTATGTCAGCTGCACAAGTTTTTTGGCATTACCATTTATGCAGGCCTTCCTGCAAAGAGTCAACATGCTAATCCTGCTGCATAGCTCCACGGGAATTAAATCTACCAGATGCCTTGAGGCAGCACCAAACAGTTCAGTTATAACAGCCAACCAACAGCAGTTAGATTCCAAGGTGATGTGGACAGTAACTGTAATAGTCTTTTCATGCTTGTCCCTCTTCACTTCCTTTCTTAACACAGTGCTAAATTTGGCAACGTTCTGGTTTTGGGTTTCCTTTTGAGAAGTGGATGCAAAGCCACAATCTCTCATTTGCTAAAAATAGCCATATGTGTGATTCCGTACGGAGGGAATTGTGCTGAGGCTTGCACCTGCCAGCTCTCAGTTTAGGACTGTTGTTCTCTCCAGACCTCAGCCTCTGTGCAGAAGTGAGGAAGGGTTTTACCAGATTTTAACATGGAATGAGTCTTTACTGCTTTTGCAAACCACTTGTACATACTGTTTTTCCTGTGTAGACAATCATTGGGAACATGCAGCATTTGATTTAATTTCCTGAGGAAATGCAGCCAGATTTGCTGGAGATGCACATTTACGGAGAGCTCACATGCTCTGTTACAGATGGAGTGGGCTTAAGGCATTTACAGTTCAGCAGACATTTTAAGAAGAGCTATGCAAGGGCTAGTAGAGATGTAACAGTCTGAGAAACTGTCTTCCTTGCAGCTGACATTTTTATTTATGAAGATATGGTTCCAATTTTAGGTATAAACACACATCAGTCTCTCAGCTAGATCCCTTGCTCAGATAAATGTAGTTGATTTTTTTTTTTTTGTTAATGCTTGCAGGAGTGGAGCCTTAAGTAGCAGAAAACCCCCAGAATTTTCTGAGGAAACCAGCAGCAAGATCTCCTGTAGAAGAGCAGATCTCTTACCAGTAAACTGACCTAGGATATTCAGCTCTGTTGCAGGTTGTGCTGTTGTGACAAGTGTTGCTAATCCAGCATCATGCACCTTTACCTGCTTTGGACAGAAATGGGGAGAACAGGGTATGTTAGAACAGGTTTCCACAATGCAGGTTGCTTCTCTTTCTGTCAGACAAAGCTCTTGGATTGCCCCAACCCAGGTACAGGACCTTGCACTTGTTGAGACTCATGAAGTTCACACAGGCCTACTTCTTGAGCTTGTCCCGATCCCTCTGCATGGCATCCTGGCCCTCAGGCATGTCAGCTGCACCACTCAGCTTGGTGTCATCTACAAACTTCCTGAGGGTGCACTCGATCCTGCTGCCTGTGTCATTGATGAAGATATTGAACAGCACTGAAGATTTTAAACAGCACTGAAATGTTTCTTCCTGGTGCTGCTCCTTAGGAATGGCTGTACAAAGAAGACCTGCATCAGCTGCCCTGCGTGCCTGCCATGGCCACCACAGGGTTAAGGACCATTTTGCTTCACATGAATGATTTATCTGAACACTCCTCTGCCTGGGGGAAGATGAAGTGCTGATTCCTCTGTGGTGATGTGTGATAAATGAAACTAAACCTCAGCCTTAAAGGTTGTTCCAGATGTAAGGGAGAAGTGCAAAAGGAATAGCTGAGCTTTGAAGATTAAATAGAAACAATATATAGAAAAGTGTTTATAAAGTATTTGCTTCCACCTAATATTACATGGAGGTAATTTTATGCTCTGACACTCAGTTGCTTAAATTGTTAATGGTAAATTCTGGAGTTGTTGGCTTGGTGCCACTGTGCCTAGAACTGCATTTCACACCTCCAAGGGCTTTTCAAGCAGGTAACTGAGAAACTGAGCTTTTGCAAAATTGTGGAGTCAGCATCTTTTTCTAGTCACATTAAGTAATTTTTTATTATAAGGTCATGTAGATGTTCTGTTGAAGAGGATCTGTCCCTGGACATTTCATCTCATCATTTTAGCAGGGCCCTGTCATCCTGACTCAGCACAAACACTGAACCAGCAGGGGTAGGAGAGCAGGAAACCCAGTGGAAAGGCTGCCTGCAGGGAGAAGTCTGGGAGATTCTTCTGTCTTTGTTCCCTGTAAGCCCTTCCAGATGGGGAAGGGGCTTTCTTTCCTCAGCTCTGAGGGGCAGCAAGGCAGAGGCAGAAGGAAGATCTAACTGTGAGCCAGTTCTTGGTCTCTAATGCTCACACCTGCCTCTGTGGCCTTACGGCCTCAAGGTGGCTAATAAAGGGATAGTTTGGCTTCTAGCCATACAGTGAAAGATATTTAATTTGAGTTGTTTTTTATGACCTGTAGTTTTGGGTTATCAAATCAGAGACAGGCAAAAATGTGTATCTTGTCCCAAAGATGAAACAACTGGAATGAAAGGGAAGACAAGGAAATAATTCACCTTCTTAAAGTAAAAGGACTTACTGACCAAAAAAAAGACATTATACAGGAGCTCCTAAGTACAACAAGCATCATTTTAAAACTTATGGGAAATGAAGGGGACCTGCACAGAAATGGAACTCAGAAATTCAGTTAGGTCATCTCAGTTCTGGAATGCCTCTTCAGTCCATCCCAGGAATTGAAGTAGACATCAGTGAGGAATGACTAGAGAACGTCTCTGAAGGCTCTTCTTCAAATCCTGTATTGCAAACTTTGTCAGGCTGCTTTTTCATTCTGAGTACAGGCTGAGACAGAGTCAGAGAGCAGGAAATTCTGTCTGTGGAAAAAGTCCCTGTTTGGGGATCTGTAACGAGTGGTGGAAGTGATGGATGGAGTAACACTGAGCTCAAGGCTTAACCTGAATGGGCTCAGCTGTAAAAGTGATTTGGAGTCTTGTGCATGGGAGAATATTTTGCTCCTGACAACGCAGCAGGCTCCTTGTTGCCTCCCATATACCACCAACCTTCATTCTGTAGGGGGAAAAGGGATTGTGACTGGTATACATCAGCTTTTAGAAAATGATGGGGTTTTCCTTATCTTTTACCAAATATAGGCACGTGAGCTCTGCAGCAAGTAAAAGATACTCGTAGAAAGTGACATTCTGTGGTGCTTTATGTAATACACTGGTTTAATCCATTTATGCCTATTCGACAGCCAACCTCTTTGAGAGGCCTCAGCATCAAAACTCCAAGACCTGACCGAGTCTGCTGAAGAAATGTCGTGTGCCAGCAGGGGGCGCATGGTCACCGAGGCAGCGAGGGCCCTGCAGCGAGGTCCTCACCCCGGCGAGTCGGGCTTCAGAGATGGGGCGAAGTGACAGAACCGGTGAGCTGGAAACCTGTCCCTGAGGTCCTTTTGGCATGCACCGAGCAGCCACAACCACGATCCACCCTGTGTGTTGTTTAGCTAGAGCTCGTGTGTTTGCAGAGTGGGCCTGATTTCTTGGGACTGGGCACTGAAATGCTCACTGAATTTCCCAGGACTGTGTCATCAAGGCTGGGCATATTTGAGATGGTCGAGCACTTTTTCAGGCTGTTGCCTGTTCTGTCAGGGGCAAACTATAAATACACATGTGCTTCTGCGTTTCCCTATCTCTTGCTCTGTAAGAGGAAATGGGCTTGTTTTCATGTGATTAGCAGGCAGAGGAACTTGTGTAAGTGACACAGCTGCCCTGTAAAAACCCAGCCCACGGGCTTTGCTGCCAGAGGAACTGCACTGCCAGGGCTGATAGACCCCAGAGCAGCACTGCCCGCGCCATGGAGCGAGAACCGATGCGCATAAGGGAGGGCTACCTGGTTAAGAAGGTAAGTGGGCAGTTTTGGACTTGAGTAAAGGAGAAAGCTAAATCTGAACAGGTTGGGGAGGTGCAGGGAAGCATTTTCTTTTCAGCTTTAAAAAAAAGGATCATTTTTTTCCAAAAAGAAAAAGCAGTAAACCAATGTAATGTTAGTGATTATAGCTGTCCTTGCTAGTACATCTTCTCAGAGTACTACAAAAGGCATTTTGCACACATTTCAGATGTACCTTTGGATCAAAACATTTGTATTTTTATTAAGTAATGTCCTTAGTGGCATGCTGGCAGAACAGGTAACAGCTTGAGATGGCCACAACCTACTCGATTGCACTTAATCTCCAAGTTAAACATCAAGGAAGCATAGTGAGATTCAAGAGGTCAAATCACCTTGGCTTAGAGGCAGTGTGTGGGGCTATGGGCACTTCTCTTCTTGGGAGGGCAGTTGCTGCCCCACAGCAGCCTCTGCTCTGGAGTCTTCTGTGTCAGAGCCCATAGGATAGGGCCTTGACTTTCATTTGAATCCTTAGTGAGATCACTCTGGCTTAAAGCAGCCTAACTAAACAGTGTCCATCCTCGAGTGAGAAAGGAGCTCTCTCCTGTGGTGTCCCTGCTCATCAGGACAAGAATTTCACTCGTTAGAACATCTGGCTGGAGAGGTCTCTAATCAGGGACTGAGGCCACTCCACAGTCCTGTTTCCACTGGCACTGAAAGGAAGTTCATAAAGTAATTGCAAAGCTGCAGTGATGCTGTTGTGAGGAAGGAGAGTGCCAAATTTGTGCTGTGCAGATTGCACATCTCTAGTTCCAATGGCCTGATGTGTAGAGCAAGTGGCTCATGGTTTATATTCCTCCATGACAGGGGACTGGCTGCAAACTTAGACACTGGGACAATCCCAGACTCTGCCTGGCTGGATATGCTGGGGAAAAGGTGCATACAGATGTGCCAGCCCCTCACGTTCCTGTGGGTGCTGGGTCTCAAAAAGTCTCTCTGTGTAGGTGCTACTAAAGTTGCTGCTGGGTGCTGTTGTAGTGGCAACAGGGAAGTGGAATTGTGCCCATATCCTAGGATAGCCTTGCAGGTGGATCTGGCTTCACAGAAGTGAGCTTAAGATGGTGGCGAGGAGCAGCAGTGTGCTAGAGGAAGGGCTGGAGAGCAAAAGGAGCAGAAGATACAGATCAGATGGGTACCAGCTGTGCAATACATCAGTGAGGCTGCTGTGAATTCCACAACCAGAACTTCCAGCAAGGATGAGCATGCTCCTGATTAACCTTACCTGCTAATTATGTACTCTCCTCCTCTCCTTTGTGTCTGTGTAGTGAAAACAGGGATTTGACCTCCCAAAGGAGTAATCCATGCAGCCACGGCTCTCTGCAGAGAGCAAAGACCATTTGTTACAGGCTCTCTCCTCTTGATATTGACATCAGGCTGGGGAGCAGTGCTGTGCTTGGGGGTCAGTGCTTTAGCTGGGACAATGGGACCTCCAGTAAATGTGGGTTCAGACATCAGTGTTGATTTAGGTCAGCTTAAACCTCTGTGTAATTTGGAGACCTTGTGTCATCTTCTGAGCATAAGAAACAGCTAATTTTCTAATCTTGTAGTGCAGCAGATGTTATAAAAAGTTGTTCTGTCAAAGGAAAGTTGTGTGTGTTTTTAAAGTGGCTAATGATTTCAGAGAGCAATCGAAGGAATTGTATCTGCAGTCTTTGTAGGAGGTGTTGAAAATTTGATTGTTTAGTCCAGGAAAATCAATTGCAGCATCCTCCTTCCTTGAGATGAGATAGTTTAGCTGAGAACAATGTGACCATGTATGGATTTGCTGATGATGTGGATCTGAGACTGCTGGTCTAACACTGCTTTGTGGTGGCTTCCATTGGCAGAGCATGTCAGAGTCTGGTCTTCAGGAGGTACTGGACTTGTCTGCTTATAAGCAGAAGTATTGTAACCTGTGGCAAAGCCACAAACAAAAGGAAATTGCAATAGTTCTTGTCTTGGTTCATCATTTAAGTAGATTTCTTAACAGAAAAATAAACCAGTGGATCAGTTTGGAGTCTCAAAAAATTGTAAATTCTTATGGCTTATTAAAAAAACAAACAAAACACAAAAAATACTCGAAAACAGAACTCAACACTTATGTGGTACCCAGATGAGACTCTTTTTTTTCCAGTTCCCTTTTCAGCTGGGTTTCCAGAGAACCCCTGGGGCAGTGACTTTCTTTTGGAAGGTAGTGTTCATTTGTGGGGCATCTTCTGCTTTCAGTGAGGGCTGCAGAGGCTGGAAGCAGGTCCTGCCCTTAATAAGATCTTGGCTGACAGTTTTACTTCCCTACCCTGTAACTGAACATAAAGCCTTTTTCAGAGAGCAAATAGGCCTTTCTTGGAAGGTAGAACAGCAAAAAAGGATGTCACAGGCAAAGGGTTCATTTGGGGAATAAAAAAAAGAGGACTGGATGTGTTTGTGCCATTTACTGCTGCAGAAATACAAACTGCTCTGCCCAGCCCAGCTTTAACTAATCCAAACAAGGCATTTGCACAGGGCAGTGGTGGCCCACTGCTGCCCAGCCACCATGGTCTGATGAGGACAAGGGTGCTGTGGACAGAGCTGTAGGAGGGAGAGGGTAAATTTAGGTCTCCTTTTGTAACAGAAAGAGGAAGGGAAACTAATATTTTTGAAGGATGGCCTCTGATTTGGAGCCCACAAATGTTGGAGGTAAAAGCCTTAAAATATTAAATGAAGCACCTCAATTCTTCAGCACAACAGTTGAAGATCTTCAGCCTCAGGCTCTTAAACTGTTCATTACTCTTACAGTTTGTTCTTACATGTCTAGAAATCCTCTGAGATGTGTGCTGTCTGCTCAGGCAGCCGAGCCTCAATGACTGCCTGAAGTCCTAAATATAGCACAGGATGCCGCATTAATGAGGAAGTTTTAATGTGGCAGTTCACATCCAGAAATTCGGAGGGTTATTCATAATTTTGCAACTGTGTCATCTTGAAGGCAGTGGTTGGGGTGAACTGATACTGAAAAGAAACAGCTGCTGGGGCAGGCAATGGGATTTTGGAAAAACTCATGGCTGAGGTGACTTCAAGGGGAAACTAATGATGGTCAGAAGAATAACAACAATGCTCAACTGCAAAGATGTGTGTGGTTGTGCTGTGTCCCCCTTGAGACATTAATTATTTTAGCATCAGTCAGGCACTCACTGGAAGGTCACATCTCAGTGGGTATCATGTGAAGAGTGATTTATTAAACATAATACACACGGTGATTTATTGATGCAGGGCAGCATGTTTAATACCTGGAAGCCAATGTGGGTCGTGCTCCTAGAAGATGGAATTGAGTTCTACAAGCGCAAGGCTGACAACAGCCCCAAAGGGATGGTCCCACTAAAAGGAAGCTCTATTAGCAGCCCGTGTCAAGATTTTGGCAAAAGAATGGTAAGTACCTTTTGTAACAGTGATTGGCAGTGTGCTGCTGTTCCTGGAGGCACCCAAGGGGCACAGGGGTGATGGTTGCAAGTTCCTTACACTTACCCTAGTGGTGACTCTCACTTGTCTCAGAAGGTCACAGGCAGGCCTGGACTTCTGTAGTGTTTGAAAAGTGTGACTGCTCAGGAAAAATTCAGGATACTTCAAGATGAGCAATTCAAACAGATTTTGGTGTGTGGTGTGTTTTGGGGATTTTGAGGCTTGTGTTTTTTTTTTTTTTTTTCCAAATCTTGGAGTATGTCAGCGAGCAGAGCCAAATTGTATTGTTGTGAAGACAGCAGGTGAATGGTCCTGTATTAAATATAAATCTAGCTGCCACAGAGTAAAGGTGTGGGAAACTATTTCATGAGCAGTGGAAGCATTAGTTTATTGTTAAAGGATGATAACTGGCTTGCTCAGACAGGAAGGAGATAAATGCTGTGACACAAATGCCCAAGCAAAGGTGTAATTCCAAACCTTTTTTTTCCTTTGGTAACTACTCAACATCACACACTTCACACACATGCAATTTGTACAAAGGTGTAATTCCAAACCTTTTTATTTCCTTTGGTAACTACACAACATCACACACTTCACACACTTCACACACATGCAATTTGTATTAATCACACACTACATTGTTACTTGTAGGGCATTTGCAAGTGACTAAGAGTCACTTCTACATGAGAGAGTGAGAGCATGGACAATCAAAAACTAAAACTAATTTAGAGAGATTAGTTAAAATGTTGCCACTTATTTGAGATCTCTGTAGCAGGTGCACAGACTCGGGTCCCAATCCTCAGTGAAACACACAGGTCACTGTATTCACAAATTCAGAGTCTCATTTCACAGAAAATGAGATACAGGACAATAAATGTACAAGCATATGTATTTTGTTATAGGGTTCCTGGAAAACAGTTGTTGGGAAAACATTGATTTCTAGTATGAGCAAAGAATCATCTCTTTGGTCAGTCATTTGTTATTTTAGCCATCAGTTTCATCAGTTAAGCATCAAACCCCAGGAATTCCTCTGACAAAGGGGTCCCTCAGAATCTGGAAGATTATCCAGTTACAGTTTAAAGAAATTTACTGCAGAGATGCCTGACCAAAGACAGAAGTCTCTGAGAGCATTAGGAAAATAGAAGTGTGAGAGAGTGCATGAGAGAGGAAGCTTCACTTTCTCCTATGAGTAAAGTGAGGAGAATGATACCTGTCCTTTGGTTCTGTGGCAAGTGGAATCAGAGTCTCTGGTGTCAGATTTGAACCTGCTGACTTTCCTTTTTCCTTCCTTTCTTAATTTCTTTCTTCTGCTTCTTTCTTTATTTTATTTTTTCCTTTTCTTTACTTTGTGTAGACCCCATACTTATATGGGGGGAAAAAGAGTTGATTCTTATGGAGTCTTTTTTAGCCTGTTAAGAAAAAAGGGCTCTTAATTTAAAAGCTCTCTTTGAGGCAATACAATACAAGCATAGGGTAGAGAATAAAGATTGCTGTCAATCCTGTGGTGAGTCAAAGAAGTTGTAGATGACTGGTTCTCTTGGGAACAGAAAGTTTTAGAGGGGCATTACCTTGGAGAACGCACCAAGAGAAGATCATTAAGAGGTACCTGCTCTTCCTAGCTCTTGCCCAGGTCCTGGGGGTTGCCCACAGGAGGAGACTGTAATCTCGTGGCTGGAAGGAGAATTGCATGGTGGTGCAGTCCCACCCTGTGCCTGTCATAGGGGTTTTTTTTGGTGCCTGAGCTGTCAAGGGCACTTGACCACTTCATGCAGAAGGGTTTGGGGTTGACTACTGGTCAAGCCCATTTACTCTTCCTTATTTCTAACAGCTCCTGCCCTTGGGCATGGCTGGGCAACCCTTACTGTTTAAGCCCTGCAGCTTTGGCTCTGGCCTTCTGCTTCAGCCTGGCTGTGTCTCTGTGCATTGCCTGGGCACCACCTGCCAGCTCTTGGTTACAGCACATGGCTTGACATCTTTGGCAAACCATAAATAACAAAGGGGAAGCATAGTCACATCCAGGGACTAGAGCAGAGGGCAGGAACATTAAATAACCAAATAAAGGAGCAGAAATTAAATCTGTCTGCACACATTTGGGTCTAATTCTGCTGATTTGAAATCCTGTTCCTATGTTATCTACTTCACAAGGCTCAGAGCAGCACTCCTTACTCTGTGCATGAGGTATGTGCATGGGAGAAGGGTACTGTGTTCGAGCGTATCACAGAACCTACATTGTAATGGTAGAAATTAGGGTTTTCTTCTCACAAAGCTTTCCTTTCCAAACAGTTTTGTGGGCTTTGTTTTAACTCCCAGAGAGGCACTGGCATGACCGTTGGTCTATAGTAGTTGCTTGGAAAAGTCAGTAGCAGGAACACCTTTAACATGAATGAAAAGGCAACTCACCAGCTTATGTGAGTTCTACAAAACAGGCAGAGAGGTCTGAAGGATCTGATGTCTGCTGAAGGCAGAGTAGGAGAGATCCTTTCTGCCCAGAGGGTTGCTTGAGGAGGTAGTAGTTTGCAAGAGATGCTTTGCATCTGTATCAAAGGTTGAAGAAGTCTTTGAGGGTCCTTCCTTCGACTGCAATGACTTTTATATTATGAGTTTACATAATGAATTTTACATTATGTTTGATTTTAGTCACTGGGGCCTTTTCTGAGAGAGAATAGAGAAAAAAAGGAAGGATCTCAGACCTTGTGTTTGAGGTGCCCAAAACCACCTTTTCATATGTGAGATCTGATGCAGAGTTTGCTGAAATGGGTGGAAGTGATACAAATGACTTCAGCAGGTGTTGTAGGAGATCCTCCCTTTTGAGTTGGTGAGATTGTTCTGCAAGTCTATGAACCAATAGCCTTGGACAGATGTATTTTATCTCAAAATTTGCTCTGTTCAAACAGTCAAAGCTGCAACATGCTTATTCATATGATCAACAGCATCACTGAGATTCTTACAGGTATTTATTACTTAAACCTAAATTTCTAAATGTATTCCTTGAAAATGTAGTACCTTGATTTTTGTATTTTACAGCTTTACTGCTGAATCCAATGCCTCTGCATTCCATCCTGCCTTCTCGTTGGTTGTGTGCCCAAACAGTTCTTCCTATGATGGGAATTATTCTGGTTCTTAGTGATTTACATGCATTTACTTCATAGAAATGAAAATATATTTTTAGGACAGGAGTTCTGTAGGGTGAAAAGTGGGATAATTCTCATTAGGCCAGTTTTAAGTCCAATCTCATTCACTTGGGCCCAGTTTGGAGCAGGGACTATTGAGGCACGAGCATAGTTTTATATTAATCTGGTTACATTTTAGCTTTCTGAGCTGGGTTGTGCTTTTGCATCAGGACTTAGCTTGAAACCTCAGGGCACATCACCAACACCTTTTACAGAAACAACTGCCAAAAGCAGGCGCTGAGGGAAAAAGCAGTCTTGGGTTTGTTAGAGATACAGCCTGTTCAGAAGAAGCTGCAACTGCATATTTTGAGAGTTTATTTCAAAATGCATTCACTGTTTTTGATCTGAAGTTTGATCCTTGTTTAACATGATGTTAATTCTGCTTGTGCTTTGTTTTCCCCATAGCTTTCCTGTGCGTCATCATGTATGGTTGCTCATAGATTCATTTGTCCTAACTTAATCTAAAATGTTGGTATTTAGTTCAGTCTAATGGTCTGATTTTCTCAAAAGCACAAACAGATACACATCATGAGGTGGAGACTTGGCCATTTTTAGGACTGGATACTCAACCTCTTCACCAGTTTCAGGAGGAGCCTGGATGTCTAGCTTAGTGGTCTAGTTTTCTAAAACCTCAGATTAAGAGGAAGAGCTTTCCCAGTCTCCTCTATGTACTTTAAATGAAAAGTCTTCTTTAGCATTTTACTTATGTTACTTAATATTGGGATTTGGAGAGATCTGTCTGTTTTGTTTTCACATGCACCATACATTCATTTTCAGGATGTAGCTTTTTACTGCATAATAGAGAAGGTGGCTTGCTAGAAATATGAGCAGTGTCAGATAAGAAATGGTTACTTTTCTGTCAGAAATGGATTTTTGAGGACCTGCTGCTTTGTGAGTTTGAAATCTGCCCTCCATGAAAGCCAGTGGGACTTGTGCACAATTTCATGGTGTCAGAATTTTTCCCACTGGCAACAATCTAGAAGATGCATATTAGGGATGTTCAGAAATGTGCCATTTACGAACAGGAGCTTCAGGAGAGTCCTTCAAGTGTTTTTGATTTCTTTGCTGTAGACTCACCACTCTCTGCTCTTTGATTATAGTCTTTACTTGCCCTCATAAAGCCTTGCTGTTTGCTTGCTGATTAGCTGGTCAGTTTTAGATGCCTGCTGAGTGGGAACCTGTTGTATTTATTCTAATACAACTACAGAACAAATAACAGTTGCACTTCTGGGGAACTATACTGTAGAGGAAGTGGAAAGCCTCTTGACCAAGTAATCAGATCCAGATTTTCCACCCAAAAGCTCACTGGATAAAAATGAGATCAAACAGTGTGAACTCTTTTTTTTTTAATTTTTTTTTTTTTCCAGGTTGATTTTTTTTATCTGCTTTGAACTACCTTTAAAAGATCTTTTCTTATTTTGAAGAAACAAAGTCTTTCCATTCTTGCTAGTGTTTTCAGATAGGTAGTGTTCAAGGCCCTGCCAAGCTTTTAAAGGTTTGCTTGGCTGCAGATGTTTTCAGCTAGTCTCCAGTGTGACTGTGACCTTTTCTCCCCTTGTGACTCAGTAGCTGAGCAATATGATGCAGGGTTTTTTCCCTTCCTTCAGGCTGCCCACATCTCTGTGAACGTGAAGAGAAATTTACACCCACTGTAAGACTGCAGGGGCTGTGCATTTCAGCCTTTCAGCTGTCTTGAGCTTCCCAGCAAAAGTTAAAATCAGCAGCTCTATCAATGCCACTCACCTTGGCTGTACTGGCAATTTCAAGATTGCTCACAGAGAAATAAAAAAAGGGTCAGTTACCTGCACTGCCTGCTCATGTTTTATTTCAGATTTGTTGTGGTGTGGGTTTTTTTTTAAAATTTAACTGTGACTGAAAGGCACTTTCCAAAGTCCCTTAGGCACAGGTAGGTTGTATGTTGTGGTGGCACTAAGTTAATAATGCCCAACTGGCTACACTAAAGTAACTACTAAAAAAACCCATTATTTATCATTCCAGTTTGTCTTCAAGATCACTGCGGCCAAGCAGCAAGACCACTTTTTTCAAGCTGCTTACCTGGAGGAGAGAGATGCCTGGGTGCGGGATATCAAGAAAGCAATTCATTGCATAGATGGAGGCCAAAGGTTTGCCAGAAAATCCACAAGAAGGTCTATCAGACTGCCTGAAACTATCAACCTGAGGTCTGTTCTCATAGCTCTGCTCTCCCATTTATTTCCATCCACGGACAGTGTGCCAGATAGGTGACCTCAGTCTGGAAGAGCTACGACCATGTCTGTCCATGCTACCTCTCTGTTTTCACTCCAGGTCCTTTCTGGATGACCAACAGTTACAGAGTGTACAATGTGGCAGAAATGCACTAGCAACCAGAACTGTGAATATAATTTTTAATATACCATCTTCTATCAAAACGTGCTTATTTATCAAAGGATTTTGCTGATAAGGAGATTTCTGAGCACATTGCAGTGCAAAAGGAGAGGTCAGCCAAAGTGACTCTTCCAGGAGAGGCACTTTTATACAATATATAATTTATTGAAAAAAAGTTTTTTTGTTTGCTCTCCAGAGAAATGCTAATGTTAGCCTAGTTTTTGGACGGTGAGGGGAGAGTGGTTCCTGCCAACTTGGAACTGGTAAAGGGGGAAGAGATAAATGGCACATACAGGAAGCCATCTGTTTGTCAGTACCTAAAAAAAATTAAGGACAATTTTTTTTCTGCACCTGAGAAGTAAATACTGAGATACAAATGAACCTGCAGTGCTCCTTAGAAGACAGTAAAGCTGCAGAGGGCCAAGATCCATCTAAATCTGACTTCACAGACTTCAGCAGAGGATCACCTTGACTAACAGGCCAAAGAACTTGGCCCATGATATTTAATATTCATCCTTCTTGTCATTCCAGAGCTCTAAGGAATTAGAGTTCTGAGCAACTGCATGCTTGTAGGAGGAAGGAAGTCCTACCAGGGTTCACTGAGGTTACTTAGGACCTCTGAGAGCGTGCAGGCTTTGGAGATGTCACAGTGACAGGGTTTCTGCTCAGTCAAGGACCTTTGGGGGAACATAACACAAAGCAATGAGCTCCCCTGTTGGCACTGAGGCTGTGGGGCGCTGTGAAAGTGCCTCAGCAGTGGGTGTTCCTCTGTTCACACTACAGTCACCACAACTTGTTGCATTCTCAAAATATGGTGAGCTATTTGTGCACTCCCTGTTGTGTTCCTGCAGCTGTGGCAGTGATATAGTGAGGCCTCCAGGCTTGGCAACATAAATTTTTCAGGATACTAATCTAAGCCATGCTGTAGCTCTGCAGAGAGCAATATGCTGGCAAAATATGAAGACCTTATGAATGGCAATGATATTATTGTACAAACTGGCTAAAGCTTTTTATTTGCTAATAGTTTATGTGGTTCTTTTTATGCACAGTGCTTTGTACCTCTCAATGAAAGATCCTGAAAAGGGAATAAAAGAGTTGAAGCTGGAAAAAGATAAAAAAGTGTACAATTATTGCTTTACAGGTAAGGAGCTTTTGTCCCTTTTTTCCATAGAATAAAAGGAGCATAGGGCCAAGGGGCTAAAGATAGATAAAACACCTCTAAGCTCTGTAGAGCACAGAGAAGTTTGAGAAAAGAACCTGGGAGATGTTTTCTTGATCAACACAGGAGGTGCTCAAAAGGATGAAGCTTGAAAAAGTGTCCATGGTAAGCAACAGAGGAGGAAGAAATGTAACCAGTGCCAGAAAGATGGAAATAGATCTTTATAGAAAGCTGCATGAAACACTTAACTCCAGAAGAATTATTCCCTTCTGCATTTTTCATCAACAAACTGCACACATTGTAATTCCTGTCCTGCTCTGTCACTCCTGTGGTGCAACAGTTGAAAGTCAACCTGTTTGCACAGCACTGTGTCAGCAACATAGCAGCCTGGAAGATTGCCTTCTCCAGGCTTGGCTGTCCTTTGTACTCCCCCTGTCCCTGTCCATGAGGCTTCCTGGCTGAGCCCTGCATCCCCTCCCAGCTCTCTTCTCCCTCAGGAACAGAGCTGAAGAGTTGTGCTGGCCTCTACCATCAGCCAGATCAGCTGCAGCTCACCACATGACCTGAGCACCTTTCCAGCTTAGCTCTGTGCATTGTCACCAAGAACATCTTTCAGGAGACTGATGAACAGATGGAACAGGCTTGTTGGCTGTGTGTTTTTAGGCTTATTCGTATCTGCCTTTGTGGCTAATATGGTTTGTTCCTGTGTAACCAGGCACCTCTGTGATCGACTGGCTGGTGTCTAGCAACTCCATCCGAAATCGCAAGGAAGGTCTCATGCTTGCCTCCTCCCTCCTGAGTGAAGGCTACCTGCAGCCTGCAGGGGACACGTCCAAGGCTGCAGCTGAGGGGCTGTCAGACACCCCCTTCTTAGATCTCTGTGATGCCTACTATTACTTTGTGAGTGCTGTATTCTGGTTTTTTAATTGTGCCAGCCTTGCTGATGCTCTGCTGTTCTCAGGCCTATTGTTAGGTTTCTTCTTAAATCCTGGAGGGAAGATTGTACAGAAATGGAGAGGTCTTTGTTAACTGTCTTTCTACATGATTCTCAGAATGAACTGGCTCACTTTAATATTTGTGAGAAGGACAGTTTTTTTTTTTCCTGCCACTCTTCTAAGTATGGACTAAGTGCTGAGCTAAAGCTGGGTTCTTTTTTATCTTAGACTTTTATTTGGTAATTTTAGCAGTAGCCAGAATGCAGCCATCACTTCCCCTCGTGATTCAGTGGAAGGGAAGAGAGTAATTCATTATCATGGGGCTTTTCAGGGTGGCACAAGCTACAAACCCATTTTTGTGGCAAGCCATGAAATCTGACTCGGGGTGTGTGTGTGAGTGTGTGTGTGCACACCACGAGCTTGCCTTTGAGTAGAGAAGCAAAAGTTTTTATTATCTCCCAATAACACCTGGCCTGGGTAGCTTACCCAACTTTTTAATTTATTGCTTCATCATCTGTAGATTGATTTGAAGAACTTGCAATTTCACAGGCAGTTAAATATTGTTTTAAGGATGTTTGGCTGATGAACTTATGCTAACAAAAAAAATGCCTTCTGTCAAGTTAAGTACTTAAATATTACAATTCTGTTTATATTTACCACATAGAATCACTTGACTTCAGCAAAATGAATCTCCCACTATTTGTTTTCCTAGAATGTGTCCCTGGTGGGGTGACTTCACCTGTGTAGCAGTGGAGGCAGAGACACTGCTGGTGAAGGCAGCCTTGTGGCCACCACAGTTCCTGGCTACCTGGGACATTTCTAGCAGCCCATGTGTGCTCTGACTGCTTTCAGCTTGTTTCTAGTGTGATTCAATACAAATGTGGTGTGAGGAGGCTACAACAGATCAAGGTCTGACTTGCTGTCATACAAGTATGCAGCACAGACATTACCTACGTTTCCATCTTTGGAACAGTGCAAGGTTTCAGTAAGCAGCAGCATCTCAATTTATCTGGTGTGGAAGGAGTGTGATGCATGGATCCTGAGACCACCCATGCCAAGTGCACACATCACATCACAGCTATAGAAAATACCCAGTTTCAAAAACTGGAGGCAGTTCTTGTTGGAGCAGACAGCAGATGGAGTATTTCTGCTTCCTAAATTCTAGGTGCTTGTGGTGGATGGCAGGAAGAAGAAGGGTGTATTGGGTGCAGGGACTGGCTATGCTGGCATTGTTTCTTAGGAACCACTGTCTATGCATTGAAAACCCTGTGACATCATGGGGTTGAGGCAGCCTGTCCATCATGGCGAATGGAGGCACTGATGGACACACAGATGCCCCAGCTCTCTTCAGATGCCCTGAGACACATTGGTGTGGTCCTACCTCACACTGAAATGCTTCTGTGGTGACTTGGAGAGCTCCTCAACTTCACAGGGAGATTTTTCCAGTAAATGGGTTGATTTTTTTTGGGTGGAAAAAAACATGGTGAAGGAAACCAAAGAGAAGCCAGATTTGTATGTGTACATAAACGTGCAGCAGCTGTATAACTTCTGAATTTTCTCTTGTGGTCATGCAGCCAGACAGTGGCTTTTTCTGCGAGGGAAATTCTAGCGATGACGATGTGGTCCTGAAAGAAGAATTCAGAGGCATAGTGGTCAAACAAGGATGTTTGCTGAAACAGGTCAGTACCGTATGTTTCATTCTGTCACTGGGATGATGTTGCATGGGTAGAAGATCACTCTTTTACACCTAAAAGCTCTGGAGAAGAAACTAGCTTATGCCATCTCCGTGCTTGTTGGATTTAGTCTCTGTTGCTCTTGCCTTTGCACATATAATGCTTACTGTAGCATAGCAGCAGGGCTTTTGCCCAGCATTGGAAGGTTTTTTGCTTTTACTACAAAATAAGACAATTTATAGTTTTAATTAGGAAGGAGTGCTAAAGCAGGAGCTGTGACTAGTCATTGGTACAATGCAGAACTGAACGCAGGTAAAAAGGCTTCCAATCCCGTGTCCCTCTGGACACTCCCTAACTGGATTCCGGTGCCAATTTTCACAGGTTCTTTCAGCAAATCTGAGCAAAGGAGTCCTTTCAGTCAGTAATGTTTAATCCTGTCCCATGAGTGAGAGAGAAGATAACTGTATACCTTCCTTTCCAGCAAAACTTGAAGCAGTATGGTGAACGTCGTGATAAGATCTTTACTGTCCGAGGCCATTGCAAGCAGATATTAGAGAACTGAAGGCAAGACCAGGATTCTCCAATGAATAGAATAGAATAGTTCAGTTGGAAAGGACCAGCAATGACCATCTAGTCCAACTGCCTGACCACTTCATGGGTAAACAAAGGTTATAGCATGTTATTAAGGGCATTGTCCAAATGCCTCTTAAACACTGGCAAACATGGAGCATCGACCACCTCCCTAGGAAGCCTGTTCTAGTGTTCAACCACCCTCTTGGTAAAGAAATATTTCCTACTATCAAGTCTGGACTTCCATTGTTAAAATATTCCTTGGGAGCCTAAGACCTTTTTTTGGTGGTGCTCCCTTCTATTTCTTTTGCTCAATGCAAGAAGTCAGATATGTGTCTTTCTGCAAAGTTTTACCCTGTCACATGCACACCTGCCTAGTTAGTAAGAGCTTCCTTGCAAATGGTGTCCAGTTTGGGGCACCACAGTATAAGAAGAATACTGAGGTGCTAGAGTGGGTCCAGAGAAGGCCAGTGAGGCTAGTGAGGGGGCTGCAAAACATGCCTGATAAGGACCAGCTGAGGGAACTGGGGTTGTTTAGTCTGGAGAAGAGACTGAGAGGAGACCTTATTGCTCTCTAGAACTACCTTAAAGGAGGCTGTAGTGAGGCTGGTGTGGGTCTCTTCTCCCAAATTACTGATGATGGGATGAGAGGAAATGGCCTCAAGTTGTGTCAGGGGAAGTTTTGATTGGATATTAGGAAGAATTTCTTCCCTGAGAGAGAGGTGAGGCACTGGAACAGGTTGCTGGGGAGGTGGAGTCACCATCCCTGAGGTATTTAAAAAATGAGTAGATGTAGCACTTGAGCCTATGATCTAGTGGTTAGGGAAGTGTTAGGAGGAGGGTTGGACTTGATGATCCTAGAGGTCCTTTCCAACCATAGTGATTCAATTATTCTAATGTAGCTAACTGAGAAACTAATCTTTCAAAATGCTGAGAGGAAATGATTCATGATGGTCTTCTACCAGTATTAGTCTGGATTTGGACACCCTCAGTGAGCTGTGGTTCATTGCCCAGAAGTGTCACTTCTGCTGAGAATGGTTTCAGCAGATGTAGATTTTTCTCCCACCCATCATTTCAGCTTTGAAAACAGGCAATGAGGCATCTACATCCATATCAGATGATCAGTTGCTTCTTCTGCTTGAGCTTTTCAGCCACAAACCCTTCCAGGGTGCTTAAGCCAGAGAAGCCTCTTTTTGGTGGTGGTAGTGGTGGTTGTCTTTGCAGGGAGAGAAGGACCTTCAGCTCGTTCTTGTTAATAGTCCAAGGCACCATCCTGCAAGACATTTTGCAGACATTTTCTGGCAAGCATTTATACCCAGTTCTCACAGACCTCATGTGAATGTCTTAACTATCAGATTGTGATACATGTTTAGGAGAATATCCCATGTCAAAGCTGTTCTGCTTTGTACAAATATAAAAAGAGAAACTAGTGTGGTAGCCCAGTTGTGCAAAACAGTGGGATGCAGAAAGACCAGGTTCAAGTTCTACTCCAACAATATTTCCTGTCCAAAATATTCAGCTTTTTCCCTCTTGTATTTGCCTGTTCTCTCATGTGTGGCTAAGCTGACTGAAGCACTTGCAAGCAGAGCAGTTCCTGTCATTCCTTCTTTTGATTTCTCCTAGGGACACCGGAGGAAGAACTGGAAGGTGAGAAAGTTTGTTTTAAGAGAGGACCCTGCATATCTCCACTACTATGATCCTGCTGGAGTAAGAGACACTTGGATTATTTCCCTATTTGTTTCAAAGCCAATGCTTTGTAGAAGTGTCTGAATGGAGTATTTGCATGGGCATGGGTGATAGGGAAGGCCAAGCAGGACAGCAGAGGCTAGTTCTGCTCACATGGCTTTAGCCATCCACTAGAAAAGAAGAATGAGGGATGTTTTCTGGGGCTGTCAAGTCAGGGTAGCTGCATAAAACAGGCAGGAGACAGAAACAACCACAAAACCATGGAGGAAATGTAAAGAGTAGATTTATTCTTGATACCTGGTGGACCAAGGGATCTCTGCAGCAGCACCAGGGTGGAGACATGCAAGCAGGGGCACGGGTACCACAGAGCCCAATTCTTGCTAGAGAGAGCAAAAGCTAAAAGCTCCTGAACATGCTGATTTCTCCTGTACATCGAGGGTCCGTGCAAGTGTAGTTTTCCACCATACGTGGATCTTTCCCACAACAGGGAAGGAATCTCAGGAGGGTTTGATAAAGTGCCCCTGAGTTCTTCACAGACCTGTGGTAGCACAGATACTTTACTTGTTGAGCACACAAAGCCAAGACACAGTTAATGTGATGTATGTTTTTTTTGCCACCCCAGCTGCAAGTCACTCGAGTGTGTTTATAATTCTCCTTGACAGTCTTCCATTGTTTTCCCACAGCAGCAAGTGCCACCCATCCCTAGGTGGAATAGCTAACACTGAACTGTGCTCTTACCTCTTATCTGTGATCACTTAGAATTAATGTGTGCTCTCACTTGATTAAAATGAGCTAGGTCATATGTGCTAATGAATACAATTCAGTTGTCTTGCAGTGTATAATTGAGGTATTTTCTGCCAGGCTGAAATATGGTGTTCCATTTCTTGTTTAATTCTAAGGGGCCAAACTGTGGCCTAAGAAAAAGAGGAGCATTGCCATGGGCAAAATATGCCCCCTAAAAGCTGTCATTCAGGTATATTCAGCCCATAGCTTTTATTTTGTCCTGCACTGCTGCAGGAGCAGTGGTGTTGTGGGTTACAGGTGCTTTATGCTGTGCCTGTCATGCTTGGCAGAGGCAGCCTAGACACACTAGAGAATCAACACTGAGGAGTTTCTGATCTCCCTGTTCCCAGCTTGCCTTTCCCACCCCTGACATCCCTCCCAAAGGGCTGAGGTTTGTCAATTTAGGCCAACAAACATGTGTCTGCACCTATTCTTTTACTGTCATGGTCCTGAAGTGCCTAAGGGGCCTAATTGTAAATGAGGTATAGCTGCTCTTGCTGCCTGCTAAGAATACTTCTAAGATCAACTCTTTTTCTAAATATTTTTTTTTTTCCATATTCACTGTGACATCAAAAGAAAAGTTACAGTTGGCACAAGGCTTATATTCTTCTTGTACCTTTGTTGAGACATACTACATACTCTGCAGATCCTGAATTCCAAATCCCAAAAGAGATTTCCTATTTGTTTGCAGGTCTTTCCCCTATACCACACGCCCCACCTTCCACATCACATGCAGGCTGAGGATGCCCTGGTTTTCTGGGTGAATTACTAAGTCAACAAATGTTTTTGTTTCTATTCTAGAGTTACAGCCATTACTAACATGTGAAAAGTTTCAGAAATGTTGCATTTAATTTTGATTTCGTGTCCTCACTAGGGAGAAGAACCCCTAGGAGCCATTCACCTGAGAGGCTGTGTGGTGACAGCAGTGGAAGATATGCCAGACTGTAAGGAACTGTATTGAATGAGCTGTGTATTAAGTTTTTGGTACATTATTTCAATCTGCCTGAAATCACAAGTGGTTTTTACTCAAAAGCAATCAGTGTTCCAACGATTCAGTAGTTCTTCTAGTAACTAGTCTCTCTCTTGATGTGTTAATTATTAGAGAGGGATACTGTGGTAGAGGTAGCAACAGGGAATCTTGTGTTTTATCAGTTGTTCAGAGAAGACTTGTCAGAAGGATGACACCACTCTTGTTAGGATAACTGGCCTTAGACAAAGTAAACTGAGTTTGCTCCTTTGAGTTGATTAATTGGGGATGGAAGCTTTACATTAGAAACGGTGATGCCAACAAATTATTACCATTCACATTGTTCCCTCCCAAAACTGTAAGTTGTGGGAACAGCAAGGGTTAAGCATTGCTGCAAGGAACAAGAAATGTTCATTTTCATGGAGGGAACTCATTCCATGCCTCCTTCTCTTCACGGGAGAGGCAGACTGTCATACCCAGCAACAAAGTCTGCTGGGATCTCAGCACCTGCCTAGGCTGTGCTGGTAGATATGAGAAGAACCAGAGGCTCTGCATGTGACATGACCATCTTGGTTTTGTAGCTGACAAGGCATGGAAGGGTTTGTGGAATATGACCTGTCTGCAGGATTGCAGATCCTCCTATGACTGGAGGTCAATTAACCAGAGACTCCTAAAGGTGAAATGTGGAGAATTCATGGGTTGTTTCTCTGAGAGAGAAACCTATCTCATGGACCCCTTCTTGCAGTCTGTTTGCAAAGGCCTGAACAGATAGAGCTGTGAATTCCATTGCAGTGTGTAAAGGAAGAAATATTGTCAATACAAGACTTTATTCTCTTGTAGCTGACATCTTTAATTCTTCCCTGTAGCCAAGAAGTGTGATGTTGACAACATCCTCTTTGAAATCATCACAGCAAATGAAATCCACTATTACTTGCAAGCAGCCTCATCTGCAGAACGTACAGAATGGATCAAAGCAATTCAGGCAGTTTCTAGGACTGGAAAATGAAGTTGATCTGCAAGCAAGAAGACACACAACTGAAATTTGTTACTCAAAACAAAACAAGGATTCTAACATTTCACTGAGAGAAAAGGATGTCAGCCAGAAAGGTGTCCTGAGGGTTGTGGGTAGGGCTGAGCGTGGGTAATAAATTTCAGTTCTACAGTGGGCACTAACAAACTAACATATTTTCCACTTGTGCTATGGTAATATTGTACTAAATATTTTACTAAATTATAGCTTAGAACATGCTATATTAGCCTGTGCTTCTTAGAATAATTGTCTACTTTGGGAAAGTTGTGCCTTATACCTTTCTTTGCTGGCACAACTGATAATGAGACGTCTCCATTAGCAGAGTTGTGTCACTGGTAGTGAGAAACTCAACCACTCGTCTACCCTTCAGCCTGTGTTGTGGTTCAGTATCTTCAGAGTATTTCAAAGTCTTCCCAAGACAAAATTTACACTTCCTTCTTTACCAATTAGTGGTCTTTCTACTGCCATGTTCACCTACACAAGTAATGCCATGGTTTTAAGGAAAAAAATCAACTCACTTGGACACCTACTCCACTCCTTTATAATCCTTCAGTGTTAAGGAAGGGAAGAATGCAGACAATGATGGAAACACCATGCAGAAAGCAAGGGACAAACCAATGACAGTGGTATGAACTTCCAGGCAGGAAAAGTCTCTTCCCACAGTATTTCAAATATGAAGCAATTTCAGTTCAACTTTTATTACCTGATTTTGATCTTTGCTAAATTTCTCTACAAAAATCTGCTCTGGGATCATTGTTGACCTTCATTTAGGTCTCCCAAGCCACTGCTAGGGTGTCATGTACTGCTCTATTTGACCTCCATTTGAATTAAGAATCTTGCAGGAGAAGGGAAAAGGATCCATGGGTTGGTTACTTGAACTACTGATTGAAATGATTTTGTTTAGGGTTTTCTTTTTCTTTTTTAAACTCCAGCAACATAACTCAGCCCTTGGACCTGTGCTTCAGTAATGTGAGAAACCTTATGCTTGTGATAACTGAAGTAAACATTATTCAACAGGGTCAGTTCACCTGATCAGTCCTAACATTTTTGTCTGACTGTATGTCAGATCTCTGATGACTTCCAAGTCTTAAACTTAAAGCAGGAGTTGAAAGCTACTGTCAGATTCTGTGTGTAGACTGTTCCTGTTGCAGACTAGTGTTTCTGAGTGCAAGTAAACTTTTAAACTTTTAAACTTTTGTTTTGTTTGATCTGATAAGAACTCTTTTTGGATCTCTTCAGTCTAAAGTCTTGGAGTTAACGCTTCTCATCACTTCTGCTTAATTATATATATATATGAGCTACTGAGCCTTAATTGCCTTTTGCTTATCACAAAGAAAGCAGCCCTGTGGGGGCAGTATCCTGACAGAGACCACATCCTCATGTCCATTTAAAATGGAAATCTGCTTCTGGCAGGCATTTCCTCTATCTCATGCAAGCTGACAGGATCACTGAAGCCTGGTCTGTAGTTCTGAGGAAGGAAGACTCATGACAAAAAGATACCCTCTTTGCTCAGCCTGCTTTCTTGATAATTACTTTGTGGTTGCTGCGTATTTTTGCTTTCAGAGCTCAATAACCCAAAAATACCCTATGGCACAGGAAAATTAAAAAAAAAAAGCCCACACAACCAAACAACAGAAACTTGTCTGGAAAGGAGGGATGCAACTCTCAATTTTTAATAAAACTAATAAGTTTTATTAGTCTTTGACCTTGTCATTTTGCCACGCACCCAGTCAAGGGTACAGCTGCTGACCTATGGATGGTATTTTCTCTGGCAGATGATGCTATTCAGTGTGTTTGTAGAAAAGCTCTGATGTTTGGACCAGACTCTATCAATAGGGTGTCTAACCTTGTAGGTGGTTCTTTTGAAGATACATCACAAGGATTTGCAAGTGTCTGTGCTTCTTGGTGGAAACAGAAAGATTGGAAGTATATGTCTGATGCCACCCTACTTACATTTCCTGCTATCTAAATGCCTAAGACTGTCTAACTTGCCTGAGAGTGGTACTGGGATTGGTTCCAAACTGTTCTTCCTTTTAGTCAGGTTCTCATGTGTTTTTTGACATCAATAATTAGCTCTACAATCCAGGGTGAATGTGCTCTAGTCCATTTCCAGACAAGGCCTGACAAGAAAAAATTATACATTTCACAGACCTTTCTCTTCTGATAAGCTCTTCACAAGGGGTGATTTGGGGACCAGGATTATTATGGAGTCAGTTTTCAAAAACATTTGGTTCCCTAATTCATGGCACTGCTTTTGAAAATCAAAGGTACTTGAATGCCAGCAGCAGTCTGATCTTAGGAATTGTGAATGAGATGATGCTAACTGTCACCACCCGTGAATTGAGTCAGGAAAGTCACTAAGGAGAGAGCTACTGGAGTGGAGAGCAGGTGGTGAGGACTGCTGCAATGGATGTCTGTATATGAGGAAAAAAGCAAGGCTAGCTTTACATCACTATGATTTCTAGAGATGCTAAATAGATCTTGTCCAAGGGAATTCAGTATTAAAAAGCAACTAGAAGCTTGTGCTTGTCATGGATTCTGATGGCAGCCTAGTGATTCAGAAGGTGTAGAAGGGAAGAGGCACGTATCCTGAATACTAGCTCAAGAGAAGAGAGAGCAGGCCTAGCACAAGGAGCTACCCCTTGAGAGAGGTAAAAGAGAAGAGCAGACTTTCATGTGCCACACTTCCTCCATCTGTTTTCACCCTCCAGCTATTTAAAGCACTCTTCTACACACTCAGCAATTACTACATCAACATCAGTTCCTTTATTTATTATATGAGTTAGTCTTTTTTCTTCATAGATAAAAGGACAGCAAAATAAACTATTGTGGGTAAGGACTATATTTATAATCTTAAATTACTGTAGGATCTGTATGATATAATCTACTGCAGCTTGAGAACTGGGCCTCTGTAAACCTCATGAAGTTCAATAAGGCCAAGTGCAAGGTCCTGCACATGGGTCAGTATCAATACAGGCTGGGAGATGGTGGGATTGAGAGGAGCCCTGTGGAGAAAGACTTGATGATACAGGTGGATGAAAAGCTGGACACGACTTGGCAATGTGCGCTTGCAGCCCAGAAGGTCAGTCATGGCCAGCACATCAAAGGAGATGATTCTGCTGTTCTGCTCTGGTGGGACTCCTCTTGGAGTGGTGTGTCCTGCTCTGGAGTCCTCAGCACAAGAAGGACATGGACCTGTTGGAGTGGGTCCAGAGGAGGGTCACAGAAATGATCTGAGAGCTGGAACAGCTCCCCTGTGAGGACATGCTGAGAGAGGTGGGGTTCTTCGGTATGGAAAAGAGAAGGCTCCAGGGAGAACTTATTGCAGCCTTTCAGTACTTAAAGGGGGTTTATAAGAAAGATGGGGACAATCTTTTTATCAGGATTTGTGACAGGACAAGGGGTGATGGCTTAAAACTAAAAGGGGAGATTCAGAGTAGGTATATGGAAGAAATTTTTTACACTGAGGGTGGTGAACGCTGGCCCAAGTTGCCCAGAGAGGTGGTAGATGCCCCATCCCTGGAAACATTCAAAATCAGGTTGGACAGGGCTCTGAGCAACCTGATCTAGTTGGAGATGTCCCTGCTTACTGCAAGGGGGTTGTACCAGATGACCTTTAAAGGTCCCTTCCAACCCAAACCATTCTACGATTCTATAAAGATACTCTGAGGTTCATGTTTGATTTGCCACATCTTACACTGAGCAGCTTTCCCTCCCCTGGAACACTGACTCTGCACTTACTGCAGTCAGGTTTTCAGGAACATTTATTAACCATACACCCACAAAAACACCCAATTAGACAGAGCTCCTTCTTCCACGGTTTAAATGAAAACAGGACAAAGCACACACACAGACTGAAAAAAAACCCCACCACCCATGAGGACTGCAACAGCCTAAGCAGCTTTCAGCCACAGGTGCTGCTTTTTATGATCCAATAAACACCTCATATGGAGGTAGTAAGGTCTTAATGTGTCTCCAGCAGTGGTTTCCAAGAGCTGCTCACTCTCCCCACAGTGCTGCCTTCTTCTGCAGGGTGAGGTTAGTATTATTTTCTTTCTAAATGTTGTTATTTTGCTGTTGTTCTTTGCAATATGCTGTCTTTGCTTTTTATTTGAAAGAGGAGTTAATGGAAAATTTTAAAGGTCTACTAGAAATGGTTTTTAGTATGAGAAGTTTATTGAGGGATTTAATCAAAGTTTGTTCACAAAGAGGAAAAAAATGGTTAAGGCCCTTGAGGTATAATCTAGTATTTACTCTCAATTCAATCTTTTAGGTTAAGTTTTTATTTGCATTTATCAGTGCAATGTTGCAGATAATTCTTCAGTGCAGTAATACTGCTTTTGTCCTTGGCTTAGATTTCACTTATTACAAATGTTAAAACACCAGTTTGTTTGTTTTTTTTTTTTTTTTCTTCCTGCCTGATTTGTTCTCAAATACTTTAGAAGCTATTTGAATCCTGAAAAATTCCCTTAAATAGCCTTTTTGGTGAGGGCGAGAAACGTTTTAGTAGGGTGGGGTTTTTTGGGGTTTTTTTTTTTTGGTTGAGGTGTGTTTTTTTTTCAGTTTGTACCTTTTAAAACTGTAGGAGACATAGAGGAGGAACTTTAAAAAGCAAAATGAGTAGATAACGGTCCTTTGCTAGTAGCTGATATCTCTGTGGGTGCCTTCAGTTTGTGTTTTCAAAAGTGCATCTGTTTTCATTTGTGAACCGTGGTTCTCTTGTTGACGTACAGAGAGGTTTGATCACACTTGGTGTGAACTTCTGTGCGCAACAGAAGACTTGAAGCCAGCTTCTAATTTCTCTCTTCTGTTCTGGTTTCCTGGCTGGCTAACAGGGGGTTGAGTGCTCTAGTCCTTTCTTCTCACCAGCCACCTCTTTTGGAGGAGTTTTTGGGTTTGATAGCTTTGGCGGCCTGAGAAAACTCCATGTGGCACACAATAAATAGCACCAATTTCTTTAGCCTATCTGTTTGAATAATTTGTAAGTAAATTTGTTGTGTTGAATTTGTCCTAAAGTAAATAAAAGTGGCATATATATGCTCCTACATGTTAATAATATGCCACAACTTGGAAGAGTTTCTTTTCAAAAGCTA